TACAGGTACTACAGAACAAACTGGCTAAGCGAGAAAAGTGATGTATACAGCTTTGGTGTAGTGTTATTAGAGATAGTAACAAACCAGTCTGTGATAGACAAAAACCGAGAGAAATCTCACATTACAGAATGGGTTGGTTTCATGCTTACAAATGGGGACATCAGGAGAATCGTCGACCCGAAACTAATGGATGACTATGATACAAACGGTGTGTGGAAGGTTGTAGAGTTGGCTCTAGCCTGTGTAAACCCGTCTTCGAATCGTAGACCTACAATGCCACACGTAGTGATGGAGTTAAACGAGTGTTTGGCTTTCGAAATCGAAAGGAAACGTGGTAGTCAAGATGTGTACTCAAAGGATTCTACTGAGTTTAGTCCATCTTCTGTTTCTGACTTTGTTCCGAGAGCGAGGTAAATCGAAAGTCTTTGATGTGTTGTGTGAAGCTATGTTGTTTAGAATAATCCATTGTTTGATATTGAAATGTTTTCAAGATAGCTTTGTACATAAGGAAGGTGGTGATTCCTCGAAATGTATTAGCCTTTATTATGTGTAACTTGCTTGGATCACAAGAAAGTGATCATCAGGATGCTCTGTTTTGGTATCAGAACAGAGATTTTCTCTGAAAACAATGAAATAAAAAAAGAAATTTAGGTAAATATGAATTAGGAACATTATTTGAAATAAAAAGTATACAAAGATCAACATTCGGACTCTACAAATTCGAAGTCAACGACTGACGAAATTCACCGGAGGTTGCAACTTGCATGCATATACAATATTTTCAAATCACAGACAAAAATAGAAACAGTAGAATAAAGGGTTAAATAAAGGTGACACCATAAAATTTAGATATATTATCGCTATAAAATTCTAATTCGTTTATCTTAAATATAAATTTACATGTAACAGACAAATTAAAAATGGCCGAAGTTGTTGACGATAACAAACAGACAGATTTAAATAAATTTTAAATGTTCTAACAAACAAAATTAAATTATAATTTAATTTGCTAATTGTATAAACAACAACAATAAATTGTGTTTAGATATTCGCAATTTGACTAAAAAGGGATTCAGTAATCTTTGATAAATTTTGAAAAATTCCCCAAAAGCACGCCTTGTATCTTGATAACATTATAATTGGATTTTAAAATTCTATTCTTTCAAAGAATAAGTAAAATCATTAAAAATACTCACTAACAATTTAAAATCAATGGTGGTGATAGATATATAAATAGCCTGCGAAATTAGACACACTAACAAATATATGTCAACGCTTTGTAATAGTAGCCTAGTAGGTAATATCCAAAATTGACTGATTCATTTGAAAGACACTCAAAGTTTGTTAAAGATTCTGTAGAATATATGCTAAAGATTAAGAGACATCGAGTTATGCAATTTTTTTTTTTTTTTATAAATTGTGGGAGTTCCAAACTTTTGCCTCATAATATGTTCGGTACCCGGAGACAGTTTTTGGAAATTCTGATTTAAATAATAATTCACCGTCCAAAGGGAACCAATCCTCTTACCACTAGGTCACCACCCCTTTGGTAATTATGCAAATTGAAA